TCGTTCGCACAAGCGAACGAACGAACGAACGAACAACGCGCGAGTCGTGCCCGCAGGGGGACTTGCCGGCTAGCGGCCTGCGCGGGGCGGCCGCGGCCACCCACCTATTCGAGCCTTCAGAGCTCCTTCACGGTGCTATCTTGATAGATTGGTAAATCCGTCCTCGTTCCGATCCCGCCATGCCTTGTCTGGGGCTGTCGTAAGCCATGTAGCGTCGTTGGCTCCACTTTGTGGCCGCCGTGTTTTTGTTGTACCTCCAGTGTACTGTTGTTAAGCCTCGCCGCCAGATGGTTGCTCCAGGCTGTGTCCATATTTCCGTATGTCGTCGTCCCATCTTTTGCGTGGAGCATTGTGTCGTCGCCATCCTAGTTGTTTCGCATGGAGCTTGGGGGTCCAATTGAGAGCGCGTTGTGTCCAGCGGGTCGGTGTGTGGCTCGCAACTTGTGCAGCCCAGCGCCATGACACTTTGCGGTGTAGCTACACAATATTTGGGATGTTGTGCTTCTCCATGAGGTCCTCGGCCCTCCAGGTGCTCCTCCGCATTGAACTTGACAAAAGCTCGATCTCTTCTGACGTTTGTCGCTTGGCTGCGTATGGTGGTTTGCCGCCTTCGCTCTCACATGCGCGTGAACCGTCGCAGGATGTGCGTGCATTGCTGGAGACGTCGTGTTCGCTGGAGTCTTGTGACTGGTTGCAGCAGAGGTCGCATCTATCTTGATTGCTTGTCGCCATGGCGGGTGCTGTGGCAGTCGACCCTGAGCGCCGCCGTGGTGTCCCGAGGATCATCCGCATCATTCGTCGTTGTGTTCGGCGCAGCTGCTGTTTCAGAGGTTCCGTTAGCGTCCAGGAACTTATGGGGTCATCTTCGGGGCTTGCTGGCGGTCCATTCTCCCCGGATCTTTGGGAGGCTTTTGGGGAGCCTCTTGGAGCCAGTTGGGGGTTTGGGAGGCAATCTTCTGGGGGAGGGCTCCCAAGGCCTCTGCGGTTCCCCCTCCAGGCCCTCTCTTGGCTGTCTCTTGAGGCCACATTCGGGTTTTTGTTTGCCGTCTTGGGGGCCTCTTTGGCCGTCTTGGGGCCCTCCTTTGCAGTCTCCGGGCCGTTTTGAGGGTCTTTTTGGCTGGCTTGGGCTAGTGGCGCCTCTTGACGGCCGTTCTGAGCGTGCACACGCCAGAGAGCCGAGAACGCGAAAATCGTGCAAAGACGTATGGGACATCATTATTTTTTCCTTTTGAGGCCCTCTGGGGAGGTCCTCTTGGTTTTTTTTGTGTTTTCGGCCGCCTTGCGACTGTCTTGGGTGTTTCTGGGGCCTCTCCGGCATATTGGGATTCTTCTGGGGCCATCTTAGAAAACGTCTTGGGATTTTGGCGGCTACGGAGGTTAAATTTTCAAGCTCAGAAGGCCCCAGGGGTACGTTTGGAAGTCCAGCCGACCTTCCCCACCTCCCACAAACTCTTCAAACGCGATGTTGGACCTTGGGGGAGGGGGACAGCCAACTATCTCACACGACTTGTCACCCCTGGCAAGCGGGGGTCGGCGGATAAATGCTATCAGCCCCCACGTCCGACGACAGCGTTCTCAGTCCGACCAGCATCCCCGACTAGCCGTTCTAGCCCCAAGCTCTCTGCTCTGCCGACATTGCGGGGGCTGCCATTTGCCCGGACGGATTTCCAACCTGGACAGCCAGCGCATCGAACAACCGAGACGGCCAGTTTTCCCCAACCGCGTTTCCGGCCCTGGGGATCGGCTTCGGGCTTCAGAGCGGCTTGCGGATGCAATGCCAGCACCGGGCGTATACCATGCTGTGCGTCCAGCCTCTGGCCACACCAACCCAGGAGGAGGGGGAGGAGGAGGAGGAGGAGGAGGAGGAGGAGGAGGAGGAGGAGGAGGAGGAGGAGGAGGGGAGGAGGAGGAGGAGGAGGAGGAGGGGAAGAGGAGGAGGAGGAGGAGGGAGGAGGAGGGGGAGGAGGAGGAGGGGGAGGAGGAGGAGGGGAGGAGGGGGACCAGGCCGGCGACGAAGGGGAGGGGGGCACCGCGCGTGGTGGCCCCCGGAGGGCGACGAGGCGCTGCGGACGAGCCCTTCTCGGCAGCCGCACGAGCGGGCCGTCGTCGGCCTCGGCACCTCCGGCCGAGTCGCGAGTCGCAGCCGCGGCCGGCTGGCTGCTCCTCTTGCTCTGGCCAGACAAAAGGGGGGGGGGGAAAGGGGGGGTTACGAAATTTGCTGCATGCAGCTGGTTTCGGCCCCACCGAGGGGCCCATTCCTCGATACATAGGCGCCTCCGGCGCCGGAAGGCGCCGGTAAAATCATCTACGTGAGCTGATTCTCAGCCCCCCCCTTTGCTATCCCCCCCTTTCGCCCGACCCGACTTGCGCATCCAGGAAAGGTCGTAAGGAGATGTAGGACTGGAAGTGGGGAGGAGGACGACGAGGAGGGCATCACGGGTGGAGGCCGGGCGCCTTCATTCCGCGAGGCCACGCCGTGCCCGAACGCACGCTCTGTGCAGGAAGTGGCGTGCGCACGGCCCGATCGCGAGTTGCATGGGCCATGGCGTGCGGGGAATGCAAAAGCGGACAGGTGGCCCCACGGGTCCGCTCCCACGTTCCCGCAGTCTCGGGGTGATGATGGGGCATCAAGGAGTGGAAGGAGGAAAGCGGAAAAGGAAGAGGAGGGGGAGAGTGGGGAGAGGAAGTACACGAGCAGGAGCCGGGATGCGGTTGTGGAGGGCAGAAGGGGGAAGGGACGGCGGGAGGGTGAAAGGGAGGAAGGAGCGAGCAGCGAGGAGTGATGGAGGGAGGAGGCCCAAGAGCGCCCGTGCCGCCGTACAGGACGGCAGAGAAGCTGTACCCTGGCGACGTGTTCGAGGTGTCGGAAGAGATTCCCTCTGCGGCGGGGCAGCGTTGCAGCAGGGTGGTGGGGGGGGCGAGTTTCGGACGGAGGGATGGGGGCGGGCGGGGCAGGGCAGGGGAGGCAGAGCTGGGAGGTTGATACGACGGAGCTGGGTGTCGGCGACGAGGCCGGCTGTGGCGGCAGATCCAGGTCTGCATTATGTGCTTGTTGTGGTGGCTTGCTTCTCCTGCCGCTGGTTCCCTCTTGCTCTTCTTTCCCCTGTTGCGTTCCTCTTCTGTTCGTAGCCAGGGCGACTTCACTTGCGCTGGTAAAAACGTACCTGCTGTGGTGGCTGAGTGGGCAGGTTGTGGTCATCGCAGAGCAGGCGGCTGCGCCAGCCGTGCCGTGATGTTAGCGATGCCGGTTGCTGCGTACATTTGTGGAGCCGAAGACGGCCACGACCCCCCCGGCTCAATCCTAGGTACGCCTAGAGACCCAAGCATGCACGTGAGGTGTAATCGTCGTGTCCTACGAGACTGATGAAGCGAAAGTCTTTGGCTGAGCTTGTGCACAGTGAGGAACCTGACCCTGCATGTGAGCAAGTTGCCGCGATGCCAGACTCCACCGCTCCAGCTTGGACTCTGAGAGAGGCCTGCTGGCGTTCACCGTGCTGTAGCTGCCCAGCCGTCGAGCTGGATGGAGTAGTGTGACCATGCAGGCATGCAAACACAGAAGCTGGGACAACCACTTGGTCCAAGTACATCCGCAAGCTCTGCAATTATCCGACTGTAGCGAAAATTGACTCGGCTGGCGCGTGGGAAGGTCGGCAGGTTGGAACGTAGGGTGCAGGAGGGAGGAAGGTCTGGAGGCAGCGCTAGGCTAGACAAGGCAACTCGCTTTTGGGTCCGATTTCGTTTTTGAAACGCAGTCGCATCAACTACACATTGATTGTATCTTGCGTCCTCGCTGCTTAACCCGTTGCCGTTCAATCGCGCCCACATCCTTTTGAACACCAGCGCCTTGATCATGCCTCCCCGTGTTCCTGCAGCCTCAAACAGTGGTCTTGTCTCACGCCGACTCGAATGCTGGATAGACACGAGATGGGAAGGCCTTGTGACACGATGGATAGCAGGTCGTTCTTTTGGCGGCCAAAGACAATCAGGCATTGAACGTTGGTCCAGTGCGCAGGCCGCCCGAGGCTTGGTAGGCCCTCACGCCCACCGTCGTTCGGATGGAGTTTTCTACCCGGTAGGCCTTCCACCCCGTTAGGCCTTCCCCGCTCGCGGGGCAGGCTTTACATCCCAGATCGTTTTGTGAGGGCCCCCGGGTCCTGAAAAGTACTGTCAGGGGCCGGAGATTTCAGGACTCGCAATCATCGGCAAAAACAGTTTGCTGGATGTCTGGGTCTCCGGAAGTCTGCTGAGGTCTCGGGAATGCTAGAACGGGGCCTCGAGGCGATGCCTCTGGATGCCACCAGAGGCTTACGCATGCAGGCCACTGGGGCCCAATCGGGACATGCCAAAAGTTGTGCAAGATTGGAGTAAATTCTTCCCGCGAGGCTGAATCATTAAACATCGCGGGGGGTGAGAACTGATAACGCTCCGCCAGAGGCCTGCCTGGGATCAGCGGCGGCCAGGGGAGGGGCGGCGCTGGGGGGGGGGGCTGCGGTGCTCTTGGTGACGACGCGCAGATGCGGACCTTTTCGAGAAAGGTTCCGTACCAATTGCTCGTTGCATATCCGTGGGACCCTATTTTGCAATGGGCAGTCTTTCCTGGTACTTCGACATGGGTTCGACACGAATCCCACGTGGACTCAACACGGATTCGATACGGATCCCATACGGGATCGACGTGCTCGACATGGATTCGACATGGATGCGACACGAATGATTTCTGATGGTTCAGGGCCCCGGAAACGCCCACGCGGTCGCCGAAATCGGAAAGCCAAATGCTCGGATTACGGTCGGACCGAGGTATAAGATCGAGGTCTGTTCGGGGAGGGTGCCCTGATGTTCTTCGTGTTTGTTGGATGTTTTTGTGCATCGTGGGGGAGGGCACGCTCGAGTGTTCTTCAGTTTGGCCGATGGAGATTCCCGTGTTCGTGAAGGATGTTTTTCTGCCCCAGGTCTGTCCGTATCGCGAAAGACCTCTTGGGGGTCTGGGCCTGGCGCGGCCCATGGAGGGGGGAGGGCCAGAGGCGGGCGTCACGTTCCTGCGGCTGGCGGACGGCCGGGGCTGGGTGTTCGACACCAAGCCCGGCTTCGGCACGATGTGTGTCCGGGTCGCCCCCGCCGCGGACCAAGGCGTCGGGCCGATCGGGGAGCATCGCAAGTGCTGGATGTGTGTGTGTGTGTGTCTGTCGGCCACGCGCCGAGGGGGGCAGCGTGGGAGGCGGGAAGGCTCCTTAGAGGCACCCCGCTTCTTGGAAGGCGCGAGCCTTCTCTGCAGGTGCAGGGCTGGCGCCTTCTAAGGAGCAACCTCCTGAGAAGCCTTCCCCCCTACCCCTGCCCCCCTCTGCGCGCCGCCCGCCAAGCTTGGACGTGTTCCCTGACCTTCGCATGTCACTGCTTCAATCCAACCGGTGTTCCTTCTATGTCGGCCCTCGGGTGCCAAATTCTTGCTCGTGCCCCGTGGCCATCAAGGCAGCATCAGGGGCGAGAAGCTACCAGGCCCTTGGGAGAGTGGCCAAGAACGCAGGGGCCGCGGCATGGGAAAATCCCATCGTCGAATGTCTGGCTTGTCCTCTCAGGGATTCACGGGGGGGTTCTGCGCAGGCCTCTGGGGACCCCAGAGACCAGAGACCCTCGGGCAGAGGAGAAGCACGAAGAATGAGGATGACGGTGTGAAGGTGCGTCAGCAGGGGAAAATCAAACACAGACAGACACGAAGCATCGTCGATCCCCTTTCTGGAAAAAAGCACAGGAAAGCATGGGAAGTGACAGGGGAGAAGAGTTGGAATCCAGGGCCTTGTGCCTACCTCTCAGGGGGTCCCTCGGCCCCCTCGGGCAGGAGTGCGTGCGGGTGGGAGGGCGAGTCCTGCGCGGCGTGCGGGGAGGAGGCGCCCAGGCCCTGGGTCGCCCTGCGCACCAGCAGGCGGCGGAGGCTTTTCTGTCCACCGGCGCCGGCCTCCCGGGGGCCCTCCCCGTGCCCCGAGGTCGCGCCCAGACGTCGGGTGCTGCCAGACGCGCCCCTGGCCCCAGGTGCCCCGAGCTTCTCGCTCCGCTTCGGAGCCCCATGGGGTCCTCGGGGCCTCGTGAGGGGTGCCCGGTGCCCTGGAGGCCGCCTGGGCCACCCCGCGAGTCCTGGGGGGCACCTCGGGCCAGGGGCACTTCCAGCAACGCCCGATGAAACGATGGCAGGACGACGGGCCGGGCCTCGGGGGGGGGGCGTTGGTGGTTCCAGCCAGCCAGGACATCGGAGCTCTGGGAACGAGGGGGAAGGAGGAGGAGAGGGAGGAGGAGGAGGAGGAGGAGGAGGAGGAGGAGGAGGAGGAGATGAGGAGATGAGGAGATGAGGAGATGAGGAGATGAGGAGATGAGGAGGAGGAGGAGGAGGAGGAGGAGGAGGAGGAGGAGGAGGAGGAGGAGGAGGAGAGGAGAGGAGGTGGTGGTGGTGGTACTCAGCATCTGGTCTCGTCTGCATCTAATAGAACATAATACAATGACCGCTGTGCGCATAGGGGTATCGACCCCAGTCGTAAAAAGTCACGCGGCACTCCCCCAAATGACTGGATATCCAAATCAGGGGACACCATGGATATCGTTAGGGTCGAGAAGCCTAACGCACATCCAGGCACGTGAAATAATATTAGCACGATCGGGGGGTAGACAATCCGAGTCCCACGAAAGCGCTGAAGAGTGCCGTATTGCAAAGTACGGGGATGTTGCAGGCTTCACGAACAAACTACAAGCAGATGAGGAGAATGAGGAGGAAAACAGAAAGGAGGCGGGCTCACAAGGTTCTCCGCGAAGCCGAAGCCGACGCAGAATACTAAGTACAGGGGGTACTTGGTACTGCCAAGTCATTGACACCTAGCAACACGAAGACGCCGAAGACAAAGCACAAGCGGTACGTCATGAGACAAGGTCATTGGCACCTGGGAGCACGAAGATGCCGAAGCCACCGCACATGGAGTACTTGTTAAGAGCTCGCTGCACACACCGAGGAAGGACAGGCAAATCTGCGTGAGCTTGTCGCCATGGGTGGGGGAGTGCCGGGATAGTATGTATGGGAGTGTGAAAGAGGGCGCTGGTTAGGGAAGAACGCACATTCCTGTAGCCGCGCAGGGTGTGTGGATGGACCTGTGCCAGGGCGGCCAGAGGAGAGGAGGAGAAGAGGAGGAGGAGGAGAAGGGTGCGAGGGAGGGAGGAAGGAACTTGAGGGGGAAACAATGAGAGATAAGAGGAGGCAGGAAGGTTGGGTGGGGGAGGGCGGCCAGGGAGGGGGGAGGGAGGCAGAAATTGGCGGGGGGGAGAAGTTGCTGAAGAGGGCAGGCGGACTGAGGTCGGCAGGAGGATGAGGGGGACGGTTGTGGGGGCACTCCCTCCTCCCATCCGTTTGGTTTGCTCTGGTCCTCCTGCTCCTTCTCATCCTGCTACTCCACTCCCGACTTCCCGTCCTTCCCCTCCCCCTCTGGTCTCTGCTGTCCACCGAAGGCCCCAGTGGCTGTGATCACATGCGTCCGCGCCACGCAGTACAGCGTTGCGTGGCCCCATAGGGAGCTCCACCGGAGGCCCCAGTGGCCGCGTTCGCATGCGTCCGCGCCACTCAGTTATACAGCACTTCTTGGCCGCGTGGGGAGCTCTACTGAAGGCCCCAGTGGCCGAGTTCGCATGCGTCCGCGCCACCAAGTAGCACGGTGATCAGTGCAGTTAGCATGGCTTTACTGTGTCCTATATCGTACGAGCATAACTAGGTTAAAGTTGTTCGTGTATGGTGTGTAACTTTTGTATAGAACACTCTGTAACATGGCATATTGTTTTCGTAACTTGTTCCTTACGTTGTCCCATCATCATGTTGTGCTGGGTCCTCGTTTTCAGGGACAGGGCCCCGCGTTCCTCCTCCTCCTCCTCCTGCTCCTCTTCTTCCTGCGACCCTCCCTCAAATTATTAGCATCATTGTCGTCGTCATCGTCATCAGCCGCATCATCAGCATCACCGTCACCATCATCATCATCCTCCTCCTCCTCATCATCATCATCATCATCATCGTCATCAGCATTATCATCAACAGCATCATCATCGTCATTACCACCATCACCATTATTATCGTTACCATCAGCAGTTGCATCATCAGTACCATCATTATTGACATCACCAGGATCACCATCATCTTCACCCCATCATCCTAATCGTCATCGCTCCCGTTCCGGGACACCCCTCGCAAGCTTCGTGGTGCCATAGGTTCCACCAAAGGTCCCACTGGCGCCGCCCGCACGTGGGCGCCATCCCCGTTTCGGCACACACACACACACACCTCACACGTCTCGTGGCCCCATAGGGGAACTCCGCCGAAGGTCCCATCGGCGCCGCCCGCATGTGGGCGCCACCCCCCTTTCGGTACACCCCTCACGCGTTCTGGCGAGCTGTGCGAAGGCCAGGTCGCTCCACGCTGCAGGAAGGGGCACAGCTGCAGCGGGCCGCGCCCGAGCGTTCGAACGAAGTCGGAGAGGAGGTCAGCGACAGTCCACATGGGGACCTTGGCCACGTCATTGGGGTGGTAGGGCTGGCGGTGATCTCAGGCGCCATGCTGCTTCCCTGCTGGGCCGATCGCCCAGGCAGCCATGGGGGTTATACGTGAACTGCTCGCAGGTACCCTCCCAGCTCCAGAACTCCAGGCCCGGGTGCCCTGCGTCGACCATCACGTCATGCCCCCATAAGGTCGCGAACAAGTTCTGCAGTAGGTCCGTTGCCACGGCAGTTGGCGCTGCGATTTCGCTGTCTTTGTCTGGGTTCCTGGCACAGAAGCTAACCCAGTGTAGGTTGATGGTGGAAGGTCCGCAATTGCACGTGACGAAGCCGACGAGGTCCACCAGCTCTGATTGTGTTGGGGCGCTGAGCTGGCGGGCACGGGTGCCGGGCAGTGGCGGCGGCGGGCAGGTGCCCAGCAGGGCTGGCACCCACGTTCCAGAAGCGCCGCTCTCAGGCGGTGGCAGTGGAGCCAGGTGATTTGGCTGCGAGTCTTCTGCGGGGGCCGGCCTGTGCGCGGACTCGTCCCCCCGTCGCCTGGGCCCTCCCAGTGGCTCCAGGGGGGCGCTTCCGTCGGGCAGCCGACTGGCTACCCTCCGCTCGGCCCCTCGCTGCCGGTCGGCGGGCCCTGCCGCTGCCCGCCTGGGGCTGGGCTCGTCGGGCCGTCGTCCCCGGGGCCCCCCCCCCGATCTCCCTCGCCGCGGGGGGGCCTTGCTGCGAGCGCCCTCGCTCGCGACGGGTGGAGCGGATGTGTGCCCGCGCTCCCGTTTCGGTGACCGCGGTGCCCCGCCACGCCTTCCCAGGGATGTCTGGCGGCGATCGTGCCAGGCAGCCTCCAGCGCCACCTTTGCTCTCGCCTCTGGGTCGGCTGGCGGCGAGGGCCGCTGCTTCCTGCCGGCCATGACCAAAAGGTTGGCTGTATCCGGGTATTCCGCTGGGCCTGGGCAGAGCCCCCGCGGATCCGCGGATCAGTGTCGGTCCTCCTGGTAATTACGGTTGCCTGCTTTCCCATCCGTAGATCCAGGCCTTTGTCGAGGACGTCCATGCTGGCGCTGGCTGGTGACCAACACATTCGACGTCTTGATTTTTTCATGACAGCGTCCGTGGAAGTCCCGACCCTTTCCACGGGATCGGCGTTCCGTCCCGAGTCGCTTTTTGACGGCCCCGGGGACTGGCGAGGGCACCCGGGGGCCGAAACTAGCGAACATCTCCTGTCCTGAGTTGTTTTCCGGGGGCGAAGTGAAGGAGGAGGCGGAGGAGGAGGAGGAGGTGGAGGAGGAGGGAGGAGGGAGGAGGAGAGGGAGGAGGAGGAGGGAGGAGGAGGAGGAGGAGGAGGAGGAGGAGGAGGAGGAGGAGGAGGAGGAGGAGGAGGAGGGAGGGAGGAGAGGAGGGAGGAGGAGGAGGAGGAGGAGGAGGAGAGGAGGCGGAGGAGGAGGAGGAGGAGGAGGAGGAGGAGGAGGAGGAGGCGGAGGAGAAGGAGGAGGGCGATGAGCAGGTTGGCGACGAACCTGACCTCGGGCCCATCCTCGCCGCGTGCCTGCGGGCCTCCCGGGGAGACCCCCCTTTCCACCCCTGGCGAGTCTGACCTGCGCGTCGCATGGTCGGTCGTCCCAGGATGTGGGCCAGGCAGCGCTCGCAGTGCCCTCTTGCATGCCGCGCCCTCGCCATGGGAGGCTCGACGCCAGTCCCCGAAGCTGAACAGAGAAAGAAAGATAACAGTTCTCCATCCCAGGATTGACTCAGCCAGCGGGCAAGCATCGCACTTGGCCGCGTATCCCTTCTGTGCCGCCCGGGTTCCGAACCTGTCCTCGTCGGCGCGGCGCCCGAGGTTGGCGGCGCCGAGTGTGTTCGGACACTGGGGACCTGTCTGGGCGAGAAGTAGGTCGGACAGCGGTGTGCTACCCGTGTGCTTGGGGAGCTGACCGCCCTTCGGTAGTGTCCGTCGCGCGTGTAGATCGCCACTGGAGATCTCCCTGTCGCCCACGGTGCGCAGGCAATCAGACATTTTGGCGTCGTCTGGGATGTTCGCCCCCGCATTTTCAGCCCATCCTTCCGGCAGCCTGCGCATCCGCATCGCCATCTGCAGCAGACTCCACGTCGGTAGGCTGTCTTCCGATTGGCTGCGAGCAGCTGGCTGGTCTCCGCCGCCACCCATGCCCCGACATCGGGTCCGAAGCAGTTGGAGCAGTCGTCGCACCAAATCACCGATAACGGGTAGCCGCACATGTCCATTCCCCTCCAATTGATTGAGCACCCGCTCTGTTTGGCTACTGGGTGGTGGTGCGAGACGGTCACGAAGCGGCCTACCGCTCGTTGCAGGTCCTCAATCTGGGCGTGCAATATGCGGAAATCCTTGGCGAGCATTCCGTGGTTCGCCTTGTTCCAGGGGTCGCAGAAGGCCAGGACGGCCTCCCATACGTCCCTGGTAGGGTCAGGTGAGCCGTGCGGGTATAGCAGTACTTTGGGCCCGCGAACCATGATGAGCATGATTGCAAGGAGGTTCGTGCCCCAAAGGGAGCTGAGCGGCTTCCTGTCTGGCCTCAGCGGATTGGCACGTAGCTCGTCCCACTCTGCGGCCAGTTCGCCCAGGATGGCCTTTCGGTGGTCCGCGGACGGCTGCCCAGTGTGTTGCTGACATCTGCAGGTGTCGTCCTCAAACGTGCTTACAAGTGTGTGGTTTTGTTCCGATGAACTGGTGGATCCCCCGTCAAGTCCCCGAGAAATCCCAAGCATGGTTCCAATAGACTTCCAAGCGGGCACAGCTGTGCCTCATGATGACTCCAAGAGGTCCCAGGAGGCCCCTCGGGAAGAGCGTACCGAGAGGCCCCAGTACGCTTTGAAGATCGGCCCCAAGACGTCCCAATACTTCCCCCGAGGCACTCTCAGAACGCCCTCGCGAGTCCGGCAGCCCATTAGAGCCCCAAATTACCGCCAATGCGGCCCCATAGGTGCCCATGAACCCTCCAAGAGGCCCCGAGGAGGCCCCCAAATACGGGCCCGGCGATATCCTCAAGGGGCATCCGCGTCCTCCTCATCACGAGCCACCATACATACAGGTAAGCACGTGATTCAGGAGGGAAAGAAACACACAGACACAATTAATCGTCGATTCCCAGAAAATATGGGAAAATATGGGAATTGGGCGGGAAGACAGAAACCCACAACATATGGGAAAATATAGGGAATTATTTTATTTGTGTGTATGTATTTGTGTGTCCTGGGGCCTCTTCAGTGATAGCATTCGAGGGGTCCCATTTCTGCCGCCCTGCCACCGCTGTTCAGTACAAGGTGGACAATGCCATCGCGGTGGCGCCTCGCCCCTCCCCGTTCCTGCCTCTCCCCCGTGAGCCTCCCACCTCCGTCGCGGCCGACCCAGCCCAGCCTAGCCTAGGGCGCCCCCCAAGGCCCTGTGGTGCAATCCAAGTTGTGTTAGATCTATGTATTATATATATCGGATGCAACCTATGTGGTGCAACGCATTTGGTGCGTCACCGATGTGGTGCAACCTATGTCTGCAACACATGTGGTGCAATCTATGTGTGGTGTCATCTTTGTGGTGCGCCATACATGTGGTGCAATCGACGTGGTGCAATCGATGTGGTCCAATCGATTTGATTGTAATCGCTTCAATTTCAGCCGACCAATTGGATTGCAATCGATTGGATTGCAACGGCGGGGTGCAACGGGGCGGCGGTCACGGACTGCGACGAGGCGGCGACGGGGCGGCGACGGCGGCAACAAGGCGGCAGATCCGACAGACGAGCCCAGACGATGGGCGGCGACGAGGCGACGACGGGGGGGCGACGGCGGCGACAAGGCGGCGGTCCCTACAAACAAGTGCAGTTCCTTAGAAGACAACTGTGCAAGAACTGTTCGGGGAATGATAATCGTATTCATGGCGTCTCGGGAGTGATAGGGGACGGTGAACACACCCCACAAACAACCCTTTATCTGTGCCCTCAATCAGCGCCCTGCCTTCAAGCGAAATCGCTGCGCTGACCAATCCGCCAAACCCTCTTGCGAACAGGCTTCGTTCGAATGGGCGAGAGCTTGTCCGCGGATTGTTTTGCGACAGCCGCCCAACTTGGCATCGAACATATTTGGGTGAAGGACGCGGTGAATATTTGCCCGAACCTGTGCCCACATTCGGGGCGCACTGTTGCTTCTGGGGTAATCGTTTGGACTTGCCAGGTCCTCGGCCGGTGCCGGGTCGGTGCCTCCGTGGGCGCCTCGAGGGCGTCTCGTGCCGAGCGGGGCCGCCCAGGTTTCGCCCGCAGCCCGCCCGTGGGCGCCTCGCGGGCGCCCCGCGGGCGCCTCGTGCCCCGTGGGCGCCTCGTGCGCTGGGCCACTCTGCCGAGGCCGCGCCCGGCGCCCGCCCAGGGGGCGCCCTCGCGGGCGCCTGCTGCGCTGGCTGGGGTGTGCCCAGGTCTCGCCTGCAGCTGGGCCCGTGGGCGCCTCGCGAGCGCCTCGTGCGCTGACTGGGCAGCCCGAGGCTTCGCCGCGTGCCGGGCGCGTCTCGCGGGCGCCCCGAGGGCGCCTCGCGGGCGCCCCGCAGGCGCCGGTCGGGTGTGCCGAGGTCTCGCCCGAGGTGCCCGCCCGCGGGCGCCTCGAGAGCACCGCGTGCGCGGGGCGGGCGGGCGGGCCGAGGTCTCGCCCGAGGTGCGCGGCCGTGGCCGCTCGCGGGCGCCTCGGGGGCGCCTCGTGCGCTGGGCGGCCGCGCAGACTGGATGACAGCGCTTTGGCTGCACAGCTTGCACCGCATGGCTTGCACCACAGCAGCGTCCGTCAAGCAGCTTACGTAGGGAAACACAAGTGGCATAAACATAAGGGAAACAAAAAGTGGCACAAACAGAAAAACGCGGAGGTCCGCTCGGATTTCTCGGATCGGCGCTGGACCCCCCTCCCTGGCGCGCGGAGCGCGCCAGGGGCGGCGCTGGAGGCGCCGCCAGGGGGGTCCAGCGCGGATCCGAGAAATCCGCGCGGACCTCCGAGTTTTTATGTTTATGTCATTCTTCGTTCCCCTATTACGCCACATAGACGGCCACGGAACAGCCTACACAACATCGCTGACACGACGAGCCACAGAGCTTGCGTCGCAAAGCTTGCACCAAACAGCTTGCACCACATAGCTTGCGCATCTGCAATGACAGATCTCACTGCTTGGACTCCACACTGACTCCACACTGGCAAGCCGCATTCTACACATCAAAGAATTCATATCTGCTATTCCGTCTAAATTATCCTACCTATCCGTCTTCTCCGTACTGCACCCGGCCTCCACAGTCGAAGCGGACAAAGAAGGACAGCATGGGGCTTCCCTATTATTCCTTCCCCTTTTCAGCTTCTCTCTTCCACTCATACGTTGTCCATCCTCCCTTTCTTTTCTCCTCCATCGTCAGTCCATCTTCCTGCTATTCTCCGCTCCCCCCTCTCTTCTCGTCTCCAGGCTCCTTCCTTCTCCTCGCTCTTCAACCATCCCCTCCCCTTCTCCTCCCTCACCTCTCAGCTCTCGCCTGCATCCCTTCCCTCGTCCCTGGGCATCGGACGGGGGCCACGACAGGACCTCAGCAGGAAGCGCGGACCGCACGGGAGACCCGCACGGGCCCCCGCATCTGAGAACCTCGGCGGCCCGGTGGGGCACTGTGCCGCCGGTCGGGCACCGTGCTCCTTGCCCGCCCCGGTGCCGCAAGCCCGCCGCGGCCGCGCCAGGGGCCTTGCCGTCCGCCGCTGCGCCGGGCCGCCCCCCGACGCAGGCCGCGCAGGTCCCGCGCCGCGCCCGCCTCCGCATGCCAACGTTTTGTCCAGGCCTCCCAGATGGGCTCCGAGCAGGCGGGGTCGGAGGATAGGGCCGCATCGCCAGTGCATCGGCGATGCGGCTCGGTGTGTCGCCCGATGTTCTCCACGCCGACGTCGCCGATGCATCGCCGATGTCGCCGGCGCATCGGCGACGCGGCGCGATCCTCCGAACCCATCAACTCCGACTCCAGAGGCCTCTGCTCTTCTCGTCGGCGCACAGAGGTGTTCCACACGATGGGCTGCCCAGTTGATTGGCCAGACTGGAGCAGTCAGGAAGAAAACGTGTCACTCCTGGGTCAGAAGCCAAATCCTCCCTGCGATTCCGTCATTTGCATTTGTTGTTTTTGCTCGGTGTTCGTGCAGGATGTGTGTTGGTTGATGTGTCTGTTGCCTCCAACAAAGAGAAAAGCCTGAACCCCCACGCCCTCCATTTTCTCACGTGCCGCTTTTCACGGCGATGATATAATCAGGCTATGCTCTGCGCGCCAAGCTTCCTGAATAAGGAGTCTTTCATCAACACTCCTGACAAGAAGAAGAGACGTATCAAGAGATCCTTACCAATCATTTCTTATCCGGGAGCCATTAACAAGGATTCCCCAGAAAGGATTCCCCGCTGCAGATTCCTTCTTCAAGAATCCTTCATACTGATTCCCTACGACGGGCTCCTTTATCAGGATTCCCCAGCCACCTCACCAGCTCCTAGTCCACGAACGCCCCGCTCCATTATGTCCTGCCTCGCCCTGCCATGCCCCGGGCCCTGCTCACTACAGCTCTGCTCCTATACGTTCCTGTCTCTGCTGTGCTCCAAGCTCTGCCCTGCCCTGCCAAGCTTCCCGAATATAAGGATCCTCTGCTCTGCCCTGGGAAGTGTCCTGACTAAGGTGATCTCAATGAGCACTCCCCACGAGGACTCACTTATCAAGGAATCCCAGTCGAGGACCCCGTACTAAGTAACCGCTAGTGCGGAACCCTTCGGAAAGATTCCCGACTAAGGATCCCTTACGAAGGGATCTTCAATCTGACTTTCCGAAGGGTTTATCCATCAGGCTTCCATGACCAGATCAGCAGCTCCAAGTCCACGAACCTCCAGCTGCGTTCTTCGCTGTCGTCCCCTGCGCTGCCCCAGGCCCTGCTTCGCGCAGGCCTGCTGCGAGAAGCTGTGCCCGGCCCTGCTCTGCTCCAGGCTCTGCTCTGCCCCGCCGAGCTCTCTGTGTAGTGAGTCCCTGGTATTCATGTCTGAGTCGGAGAGTCTTGCTAAGAAGTCCTTGTCAAGGATCCTCTATCGAAAAGGACCCAATACGTAGGAGTGTCTGAGAAGGATTTCCACCATGGGTTGCCCATACAAGGAGTCCTCAATTACGATTCCCTACTGAGGATTCTCCAGTCAGGGCCCCCTGGCCAGTTCATCAGCTCCATGTCCACGAACCTTTTGCTCAATTCTGCTCTGCCTTGTTCTTCTCTCCAAGATGTTTCTGGCGTTGCTCTGCTCCAGGCTCTGCCATTCACTGCCGCGCTTCTTCAATATGGAACCCCTTGATCTGCAATCCTGCTTACGAATCGGCCACCAAAAAATCCGTAGCGAGGACTTTTTAGGCAAAACACAGAAATACTCCTTGGAAGGATTTCCCACTGATGATTCCTTGTTAGGGGATCCTTGAACTGAGTTCCCTACGACGGATTCCTCAGTCAGGATTCCCTGGCCAGTTCATGGGCTCCAGCTTCTCGAACCTACTGCTCCATGTTGCGCTGCTTGGCCCTGCTCCGCCCGAGGCCCTGCAGCCGACAGCTCTGCTCCAACATCTGCCTGGCTCTGTTCTGGTCCAGGCTCTGCCCTGGCCCTGCCTAGCTTCCTGAATATGAGATCCTCTGCTCTGCCCGTCCAAGCGACTTGCACAAGGAGTCTGCAATGAGCACTCCGTAATCGGAGTTATTTGCTACGGATTCCTCACGTATTATGATGGAGGGTTCCCGGCTAAGAAACATTATTACATGATTTCTCAGGACAGATTCCACATCAATGGTTCCTTATGAAGGAAGCCCCAAGAAGGATGCACCACTAAATGTTCATTTGCCCGGACTCTCTGGCTAGCTCAGCAGCTCCAAGCCCACGAACATATCATTCCATTCGGCCCTTTCCTGCCCTGCTGCGTACAGCTCTGCTCCAAGCTGTGGCTGGCCCTGCTCTGCTCCAGGCTCTGCCCTGCCTTGCCAAGCATCCTTGACAGCGAATCCCCTTTCAGCATAGAGAAAGTTTTTGGAATGCGCAATACTCAGTCGTCGGCGTCGGCGTCGGCGTTGGCGTCTTCTCTCCTTCTCCTCCTGATCCTTCATTCCATTTCTTTCCTTCTAAATAACTTCTCCCTGTCGCACCCCGAGGGTCGTTTTTAGGGCGGGCCGGGCGCTTTCCTCATCACTTATGACCAGGAGGCTCAAACATTGGCTGGCAACAGTTTCACAGATGGAGGGCGGGTGGTTTTCAATATGTGGATTTCGCTTTAGCGCGGCGCAAATTCTTGGAAAGACTCGAAGGGTTTCACGGATTGAGGGCGGGTGGTTTTCAAACTGTGGCTCTCGCCTTAGCGCCGCGCCTTTTCGTTTTAACATGTTGCGAGAGCTTCACGGATTGAGGGCCACCCGTTTTCAACATGTGGTTCTCGGATTACCGCGGCGCACATTCGTTTTAAACATTTGAAAGGGCTTCGCGGAGTAAGGGCGATTCCTTTTCAGAATGTGGTTCTCGCCTCAGCGCCGCGCACATGCGTGATAAGAAAGTACAAGCGTTTCACGGGTGTCCATCATCAACCTACCAGAAATTGTGTTTTGAAGCGTTTCGGGATTATGCGGGTGCAACAGTTATGTTGGTTCGTTGTGGTGAAGCCCTAGGAATGGCGTTCTGGCACGGTTGAGGGTCGTCAAGACGCCACAGTCAGGTTGATCCATGGCATTGGAATCACGAGAACAATACTTTGGCATGCTTCAGGGTCTTCAAACGGTTCTCCCAACGAGGCAGCTCCCTCACTGGAAATGAACCGCTGTAGGGGCCTATGGAGAGGGAGCTTGGAGGGAGGGTTTACTCCAACATCGTTGATGACTCCTGGGTTTATACTGTTCCTCCTCCTCCTCCTCCTCATCCTCCGCGTCTTCATCCGCGTCCTCCTGCGGCCCCTTTGGTGCCCCTGGGCCACCCTCTGGTTCCATCTGGGCACCCGCCCCACGGAGAGCACCTATGGTGGTCGACTGATGTGCGGGGGGGGGGGCAAACAAAATCAAGCAAACATCTTGAGTTTTTTTGTTCCAAGGCTTGTCCCAACCATCCTGTGGTGTTTTGGTCCTCGTTTTGAACAGACAGCGCCTCGCGTCTTCTATCCCTCCTCCTCCCTCCCCCCGTCCCCCACCAAGTACAGCGCTCCGTGGGCCCCATAGGGAGCTCCTCCGAAAGCCCCAGTAGCTGTGATCACATGCGCCCGCGCCACCCAGTACTGTGCTCCGTTGCCGCGTAGGGAGCTCCACCGCAGGCCCTCGGGTCTGTGATCACATGCGTCCCCGCCACCTAGTTCAGCGCTTCGTGGCCCCATCGGGAGTTCCATCGGAGGCCCCAGTGGCTGTGATCACATGCGTCCACGCCACCCTGTATTGCGCTTGGTGGCCCCATCGGATCTCCACTGAAGGCCCCCCAGTGGTTGTGATCACATGCGTTCGCGCCACCCAGTAGAGAGTGGCGTGGCCCCATAAGAGGGGGCTCCACCGAAGGCCCCAGTAGTGTGATCACATGCGCCGGCGCCACCCAGTACAGCGCTGAGTGGCCCCATAGGGAGCTCCACGGAATACCCGAGTGACTGTGATTTAAAAAAGGGTGTCAGCCCCAAGCCGGTACAGCGCTTCGTGGCCGCGTAGGGAGCCCCACAGAAGGTCCCAACGGCTATGATCAGATGCGTCCGTGCCACCCAGTACAGCGTCTCGTGGCCCCAAAGGGAACTCTACCGAATGCCCGGTTGGCGACGTTCGAATGGCGGCCCCGCTCAATTTCCACACACCCCTCACGCGCGTCGTGGCCCCATAGCGGGGGGGTATATCCAAGACCCCAGTGGCAGATCTCGCATGGTGGCCCCGCCCAATGTCGGCACACTCTTTACATGCTTCGTGGCCCCCAAAGGGGATCCACCGAAGGCGATAACTACCCACAACGGCGATACTCACAACTGCATCTGGTGGGATTCTTCGCCAGGGTAATGTTTGTTTGACCCCCCGCCCCCACCATCACCAACACCAGCTCTGGGCTTGGCTGGTCTCCCCGCTGAATGGAGGACAACGCCGTGAGACGCGGAAGAGAGAGGGAGAGACGGAGAGAGGGAGAACAGAGAGAGGAAGGAGAGAGGGGATATATATATAGAGAGAGAGAGAGAGTGAGAGAGGGAGAGAGAGAGAGAGAGAGAAAGAGAAAGAGAGAGAGAGAGGCAGGAAGGGAGAAAAGAGAGCGAAAGAGAGAGAGAGGGAGAGAGAGAACAAGAGCGACATATATATATATATATATATATATATATATATATATATACAAATATATACAGATAGAGAGAGAGAGAGAAAGAAAGAAAGAAAGAAAGAAAGAGAGAGAGAGGGAGGGAGAAGAGAGCGGAGCGCGAGCGGAGAGAGGGCTGAGGAATGACATGAGAAGTGTCGCAGGGGGGGGGTAATTCGGCCCCGAACCCGTCGCCCCCTTGGGCCTCTTGGGGGGACCCTCCTGGGCCCTGGAACCGTCAACCAAAGCTGGCTCGGGCCGAAAGGCCAGCCCCGGGGGCAGGGGTCGGGACGTCTGGGGACCCCGCATGGGAAAGGTATAGACCCGTCGGACCTGTGGGCCCCCGCCTCCCTCCCTCTCTCCCCTCTCGGCGCTGCGCGGCGCAGGGGGCGGGGCTCACCGATGCTGCCCCCCCCTTCCCTCCCTCCTGTGGGGGGGGCCCCCTGGGGC